TTCATTTTAAGGTAGGTCAAATGCTGAAAAGGCTTTGCCACTGTTGGTAGATATTAAAGTTTTTCTGGAAGATTAATAAATAAATGATAAATGTCCTATTCAAAATTCATGCAAGATTTTGTTTGATGTTGTCACTCGTTAGACTATCCTAGCTATTTTTTCTATTCTGACATGATTGGTGTTTTCTTTCCCAACGAGTAGTTTTAAATGAAGCCCAAAGAAGCTCAAATTAGGTCTTAATGGTCGTTCCTTTTGCAAAGAGCCTATCAGTCAGTTCGGTTTTATTGACTGAATCAACTCTAAATGCAATTTGTCGCTTGAGAAACTGGAATATAACGTGAAAACAAACTAACTAAAGCATGATTAGCATTCTCATTTGCATCACTTTGGGTATCTATTTCTATCCTGCTTTATCTCAATTGATTTCAGACTTACAGAGAGGACACTATTCATCGATTGGAGACAGACAGGCAATCGGTGCGTCTATTACGAAGTGTGATTGAAGCTTACAGAGTAGATGATGGAAATGACTGGAGGTTTTGTTTACTGGCAGGCTCAGTTTTATCGGACATCTCGATGAATAACATAAGCAAAGGTAAGAAAGTATTTATAAAATAAAATAAAATCGTCTCTCAAAATGATCTTCAAAGGGATCCGTTTCCTCAACACAACCTCTTGTGTGGTGGGACATATTCTTTTAGTGAATGAAAGTAGTATAGAGTGCCACTTTTATCAACGAGAGAGCAGTATTCGTACTACGTATACGGGAAAACAAAGGGGTATTACCAAATGTGGTCACCACGATGGCGAATTGATTTGTAGAGCAATCTCCAGCTTCACGTAATGGTCCCGCAATAGTCATGCTTACTTGTCTCGCAGAGAGTCATAAATTACTTAGGCCGGCACGATGCAGTGAAGACAAAATATTACAAAAACTGTTCAAGTGATTTGATTCGAAACTTTTTGAGCCTAAGAACGTTGTACTTCTTTTGGTATCTCTTTGGTTTTCAAATAACTTTTAACACTAGTTGATCAGATGAGAATTTTGAATATTAGAGAGATCAACAAGTTTTGTCACGCATTTGAATACATGACATACAAAATGCAAAGAACCAAATCCCCGTCCGGTACCAAATGGAAAAAGGAGAGGCATGCGTGACCATTGTGATCCTGAAGATTGCGCTACAAATGAAAACGCCATGATGACCTTATGTAGTAATAGCCCGTTGTTTTCGCTCGTCACATGGCACGAATGCCGCTCTCTTATTGATTATTACGCTCTACGCTACAAATGAACATTTCCCGTTTTTTCTTTTTCTTTTTAGAGTTTCTTAAACTAATAATGGTAATGGGACCGAGTGGAGTCTAATTCGGACTACCGCGAAGCGGTAGTCCGATTTGTTAATTACGAGTATGATTACAGATCGAATTGGACGACACAAAGTCCTCCAACCAGTTAATCAAAACTATGACAAAATTTGAAAAAGAAACTAGAAATCGGTTAAACGTTTTTATAAAAAAAAAAAGCAACAGTTAACTCAGCGAAATGCGAGACAATAGCTATGTATTCGTAAGCTATCATTTAAATACAATTATGTCTAGTAAAACACCACGTTAAATGCTAGGCGATAAGAATGGAAAAGTTTAAGCCTGCCATACAAGAATTTACTGTCATTAAGTGACATTTTTTTTGCGTTATTTGTCAACCATACAAGAAGCGGTTAATGTCATTTAGTTTTGCACAAAGAGCAGAGGTCACTGTCTTTGATTCTGTACCTGAACAGGGTCACACATGTAGGAAAATAAATAATTTTGTATTAAAATATCGTCCACAAATCTTCAAACAGTGGTTCAAAAATGTTTTTTCACACATTTTTTACCTTAGTCAGACCATTTTATATATGGAAGTTTTCTATTCGCATAGAATAGTTCTCATTATCCAATGTTAGGTAGTAAAAGGTACATTTTTGTGGTACTTTGATTCACAATCTGAAAGCATTATGAAATTACCACACGAATTCGTCAAGTCACGCACGTACGAGATGTCATTCATGAGCCAATTTTTACGAAAAACTGATTTCTTGTGAATCAAAATGTGTCTGTTGGATTATAACTAAAAGAAAATGAGCAAGAGGGTAACCTTGCCAGATACCAACGTTGCAGTGACAAGAATGAGGAGCATGAACATGCAACTGAAAGCGCCGTTGTAGAAACATTGTTTGTTTATTGTATGACATTAGCTTTTCATTCACTTTACCAAGGTCTTTTTTTTCTTTTTGTAGAAAACAGAATAGATGCTTGTATCTGTTTGTTTAACTTGGTAAAAGAAGAAGTTTGCCGAGAAATCCTTGAACCTTTGTCGCGACAGGTGTTGCTTAGCCCGGACAGCTATATTCGTTCATTAATGGCAGATGCACTGTGCTTGAAAGACAATTCGTGCTGCGCTGTAACTGAAGAGCATCTCATCGACCACCTTGTGACGAGATTCCCAGCCCTAGAGGTAAACAAAAAAATCATCAGTCAAGATGATCGGTGTTTCATAAAGAAAGCTGTATTCAGGGGAAGAGAAGCTGTCGTGAAGGTAATGTACGTCACAAACCAGAACGTTAGAGGGAGGATGCCGTCAGATTGTCAACAAGCAAATCGGCGCTTCATCCGAGAGGCCCATTTTCTTAGTCGAATCCAAAAGCATCCAAATTTCCCTACTCTTCTCAGTTACAACACAGAGACGTTGCCGTATCATCTCATCACTGAATACGAAAGTCAAGGTAACCTCTTGCAGCTACTTCAAAGGACGCATGATCCGCACTCCCGGTTGGAAGAAACTTTGCTTCTGCAAATGCTCATCAACATAGCTGATGCACTTCAATACTTGGCAAAACTGCACTTGGTGCACCGTTCTGTTATGGCGAAAAATGTTCTCGTAGGAGATGACAATGTTTGCAAACTTAGTGGCCTCCATTCCTTACGACCAATAGACTGGGGTCCATTAACTGAAGGTGAGCCACAAAAGTAGACTGACAGTATCTCATTAACTTTTGTATCAATTGACATGTGCATGTTTGACTGAGGAGGCTTGGATTCCAATCTCTATAACATAAGGTCACCTACTGCGGACATAGCAGGATACTTGTAATTTTAATTGATGTAAAATGCATTTTTACGAAATTGCCGAATCCTTCCTCAGATACCAAGAAAAAGGCAGACCCATGAATGAAATACAAAGACCTGGACAGCCCTGTTGAATGGATCGGGGAGTTTTCGATGTTTATCGCACTTTAAGACTCGATACCTTTTTTGAAATACGTCCTTTTTCACCTCATTTTCAGCTGAAGATGTCAACGATGACCTCCCATTGAAGTGGAAAGCTCCTGAGTGCTTAATGGAATATAAGTACTCAACAGAGTCTGATGTCTGGGCGTTTGGAGTCGTTATGTACGAAGTATTGACCCTTGGTTGTCCCCCATTTGGAAATTTAAGCAATGAAGATGTCTATAACCACGTAAGTAATGAAACAGCGGCTGTGAAGGGAACGTGGGAAGAGTATTGTTGACCGAGGGCAGGATTTATCGACACTGTCATATTGACTTATGAAGTAATAAATGAATGAAAACGTTTTTTATTTTCTGTTGGTCATTTTAAAACTATAATGTATGCTTTTAAAGCGGGGACGACAGATAATAATGTAATACCATATAAAATTTTGGAATACCCGATTCCTTACGGAGAAAGAATTTTTTTCGGTGTGTGTTCCAAGCTCGTGACATGACGAGAAAATTTATTCCTCTATTTCATTAATCAAGCTTCGAATTCACCATCTTTCTTATTCTGTTAAGTTAGACGACACTTTCGATTTCGCAAATCCAAGCCGTATGCGGAATCAGTGTCACATATGAACGTAATGATGGCCTACTATACCCACCACAGAGTCTCTGTGGCTTCGTGGCAAAGCGTTGGAGTCCGAAATTCTGAGGTTTGATTCCTCGTGGGGTCTCTGATATTTTATGCGTCCAATGTGGCTTCCTTATTCATTATTAGTTCTATTTTAATATGATATTAAAAGATAGGAACGCAAACACATTTTATCTCTGAAAACGTTTTAAATTGTTATTGCCCAAAGTTAATGTGCCACGGACTGATATTTTTTTGTGTCAAATAAAAGACTCTGTTTGAAAATTTGAAGGACAGCAGTATACGGGTTATTAGGTTTTTTCCATAAATTGTTTGTTTTGAGGCTCAAGAATAGGCCTTTTAAATGAGAAGTACACTATATTTATTTACGTATTTCTTTGCAGGTTACGAGGGGAGGAACACTGCTTCTTGAAGCGTGTTTCGAAGATAGTGAAAACAGTCTCATGAAGCAGTGCTGGCAATGGAAAAGAAGCGAGAGAATCAGCTTTCCAAAGCTCTCCAGCAGACTCAGCAAGATGAATGCAGACCTGAAAACAGCAGGTGTTAATTGTTCATATCTAGGAGTTAGATTGAGTTACAGCTGCGCCCCATTCACACCAAAGCTAAACACGTTTTAACCCTTTACTCCCTAACATCGGTATTCATATTCTCCAAACAGATCTCTGTACAATCCTGTGGTAATGACAAGGAAAATTTGTTCGACAATTAGGAGCTTCCTAAATTAGTGATCATTTCCACTATTCTTGTGACCTTTATATTTGATTTGAGGGTGATAGGGTAAGGAGAAATTAGATGTTTGTCACTCTTAGGGCTTAAAGAGTTCAAGCTGTTTTGTCACGCACAGCTTGAATTTGTTTTTTTTTTCTTTCTGCTTATACTAATTTTTTTTACCTCAAATTTGGCATAACGAAGAATAAATGGTAGTAATTAATTGAGACTTTAGTCTTTCAGTTTTCTGTCGCTTTTTTTTATTCAATTAAACTGGTTAACCAAACACCTTTTACTGGTGTGAATGCGACGTAAGATCCTTTAAAGTCTGCGAACTTGCCGTAAGCTTGGAATTATTATAATAAAAATATATTGCTTATTTAATATGGGTTGCTTCTAATTGTATCTTTAGATTCTCTTTATCTCTCTGGAAACTTTCGAGGGCCTAGTCTAGCATACCGAATCAGTGAAAAGTTTCTACTTTGTCTTTATTAAAAAATGAAAAGGACAAGAGAATTGTTGAAAAGTGTCTCTTAAAATAAACAAAGTCAAGATTAAGATCCTGAGATGAGACTACGTGATTTGAAATAACGTCATCAACCGATGATTTTCAGAAATTTCAGACGCGTAAAAGACAGAGGGGAGGGGGGTAAGCTCCATCTATACCACGGTGGGATGTGTCATCTAGCTTGTACACCATACATCCGAAGATTAACTTCAAAAGTCATCAACAGTAATATCAGGAGTATTTCAAATAAAGGATTTAAATGTGCCCCAGCCTTTAGCCTGAGTTACGCGATTATGTATGTTCGCCGGCCTAATGTAGTCTGCTTATATACGTTTTGCTATCAAAGGTGTTGCAAGAATGAAATCAAGACCTTATCCACATCCACTCTTTGCACATGCAAAAGTAGCTGCGAAAAGAGAAGGTGAGAGAATTCTAGTTTTAAAAGTTTGTGGAAGTATTAGGAGGCATGGAAACGAACGATTTAGAGATTGATGAAACACAATGTGGAAGGAAAGGAGAAATTCCTGTTTATTGTTTAACTAAAAGCGAAGATTAAATGAACTTCGAACTTTATTTGGGACTTCAACTTTAGGTTTTTATCGAAGATGACTGTTTCTTTCGCGCTGTCCGGTTGTTATCTCTACTTTTATACATTAAATATATATTTCTTGGCTTTGAAGGAGAAATTACACAGCTTGGCTTTTATACATGTTAAGAAAGCTTACTTACCTTTAAACAAGTTTTTGGTTTGCTTCAGTACCAAGTTTTGTAAAATTTGTACCCTCAGACACTATCTAATTCTTGTTTTTCACATACTTTCACAGATGATGGCTCATATATGATGATAAAGGTAAGACACCATGTAGAGTAAACAACGCCATGCGTTCATAGGTAGAAAATGTGAAAGCTGCTGTTCCAGATGTCAGGACCGAGCAAAAACTAATTTCATTGAAATATTTGGGGCTTTTTGAGCTGTGGCGCTGGATGGTCAAGAAGATTTTGACTTTTGACGAATTCCCTCTATATTGTAGTTTAATTGTAAAGCCGGTCAGTAGCATACAGCCTCGAATCATTTAGGTAATTTGCCAAGTTGGGGTTTATAAAGCGTGAGACCAGACAATTTACTTCCTTCTAAGGTGGAGTTGCAAACAATAATCAACAAGAAAATGATTTAATCGGAATACACCAAGACATTACCAACAAAAATTTCGCAACTAATAAACGAGCACAGTCTTATTTTTAAGCTAAGCCTAAGCCTAAGTCTAAGTGGAAACTCAGTGATAACAAAGCTAAAATATCCTTGTGGTTTATAATAATAACAGTGGGCTTCAAATCCTCGTTGTGCCCGCTGATAACGTTTGTGTACGCATTGTAACCTGTCAGAAAGACATCCGATTTCCTGTGTAGAAAAATATTCATGAAACAACTGAATAGTTATCTAACTAAGAAGCATTTGGGAAGTTTGGGGTGAACTTTAGGAACTGAAGTTTCTCGAAACTACGCCTCAAGAAACAGTTACGATAATAATTTGAAAGAGCCTCGATTCTTCTATCAATCAAAGTTAGAGAGTTAATCAGCTTTGGAAAATGTAATTTACCTTAGCTTAGCTAACTTACTTTCAAATCTCCGAAAATCTCTTAGTTAATTACAAGTACTTCGTCTTCATTTCTTTCCTTCTTGTTGTTATGAATGAACAAGGATTGAATTGTGGGGAATTCCGTGTGTGTCAGACCTTTTTTCGGTGAGCTTATAAATCCCAGCTTGATGACAAAGAATATAACGGGACGTTAGATGCTTCGAGGTAATTTGCTTCTGACTTTGGTTGATTTTATTGTTTCAGGAAAGTTCACGTGTTGTAGAGAAGATCAGGTCTGAAGATGAACTTTATCATGAAACGTTGAAAAAGCTCAGCCATCAAAACATCTCCATTTCCATACTTTTGAAGAGGTGCTCTCCAGAAATTCAAATAGTACGTGATAATTAAAGAGGACAATTATTGAGAAATTTTCACATTACGCGCGAGAGGCCTCAGCTGTTGAGGACTCCGCTCTGTGATGTTGACATTTCGCAACATCACTTACTTTGCATCAATCGACTACTTTCGCTATTCTTGGACGCACGCTGTTGAAAACTGAAAACTGTACCTGCTTCTAAATCTTTTGACTAAAACAGGGGAAACAAGCAAAATACTTCACCGCTTCGTTCACCCAAAAGTCAACTAGAATTACTTTCTCACCGTGCCCTTTGCTCCACGTAGAGCTCAAGACGTCGACGACATTTCTCCACCAAACTCAGCCGAGCCTCGAAAGCCCGAAAATTTGTTTTCCATACGTTAACAAAGGACCTAACCACCTTTGCAGATGATGTTTGGTTTCGTCACGCCTGAGTTAACAAGTCGATCCTTCGATTTGTTAACTAAGACATGTTTCGAGATTTCTCCAAAGTTTAGTCTATCTTTCTTAGGGTATTCCTTCGCGTGAGACAATTGAAATAGGCAAAAATGTAAAATGTAATGACTTAAACATCACTGCGTTTAATTTATCTTCGCGCCTCGCTTCCCAGAGTTCAAGTAGTGCGAGGGTGTTTCTATCGCCGATTTTCAATATCTTGCGGGATGGATTGCACTTGGATTCGATTGAAAGAGATTCTTTGTGTTCTTTTTTGTTTCCTTTTATCAGATTTCTATGGAAGGTAAATTTGGGAACCTTAAAGATTACGTTCTCAGCGGAAGAAAAGGAGGTTCTTGCGAGAAAGGCGCCTTAGTTACATTCCTATCCCAGGTAGCATCTGCGCTCGATTATCTTCACACTATGCATATTGTTCATGGAAACCTCCGCGCTGAGCATGTGATTGTTGAAAGTTCTAACCAGGTACGTTCATCGCTTTTCGTTAAAGCCTTTTTACACTGAAAGTTACAGAAAGCAGACAGTGCATATGTCGCAGCTAAAAAGATCCTATGCACTTAGAAAGAAAGTCGATCTCAAAAACAGAAGTGACCCAATGACCTAATTTAAGGATGGGTGGGCTACGGGCCTATTTATCCGAAGGTAGCTCTTTGTCAGATGGAGAGCCACATCATAAATATACTGATAGTAACTCTTGATTATCCTTGTTATTGTTATTATCATTATTACTCAGTAATAATGATAATTATTAATATCGTTATTATTATTATTAGGATTGTTATCATTATTATCATCATTATTGCTATCAAGTGACTGATATTTATGACGCAGAAGGCCTGGAAGTTCTTGCTCCCCTTATCCTTAAACAATGTCCAAATTCAAATGTGTGTGAAACAGTCAGCATTAATTTTAACAGCAAACTTCGAGAAAAAAATTTAAAAACAAATGAGCGAACAAATTTTAATATCATTTCTGAATGAGATAAAAAAGTCCGGGCCATAGACAGTTTTGTCTATACCATTTCCTGTGATATGATTGGTCTAGGCAAAACCAAAACACGCTGATGTGGCCGAGAGAGGATTGAGACGATACTTTTTCTCGTTAGCTTTTTCGTGGCGTCTATGTTGTAATGCAAAGGGGACGGCAGAACAGAATTCAAAATTTCAGGGGAGAAATCTTTAAATTATTTGTTTTTGTATCACTGTATTGCAAATCTAATTTTCGACAAACATGTCATCGCTATTCTTGCACCCCGCAACGTGTTGCTTGCACACGTATTTTTCTTGCAGTGTTATAATATCAAATTCTATCCAAAAGACACCTCGTGGAAGGTAGCGACCGATGGAATAACATAGTTACTTCGATCTCCTCTGCAATTTCCACATCAGTGTGTAAGGAAATGTCTCGTATTAGAAATGATTTTGTGAGAATTTCAGGGAACACACCTCGACCAGGTTTAACCGCCGGTTCTTTGGCTGCTTGATTTGAAGGGCCCCCCTCTTACTTTTATCACACAACGGCAGTCTTGTCTCAAAATATGTCCACAAAAAAAGATCGTTTGAGGTCGAAATAATTTTTTGTTGCTCTGAGTTTTCCCGAACTCAATCATGTATTCAATTGTATACCTAGCAGACCTATTTGGGATAAATTTCCTCAGAGTCCTGGTCCTGGTCAATAATATCATAAATTGAACTGTTGGCTCATTTTTGAGTATGCTTTGGTCAGACTGTCTTACTTGACAGTTATTTGTCGTAAAGGTTGAAAGACTGTTCTTAAGAACGAGATATGTTCATCCATTAGCCGAAACGAAAAACAAAAGGACCATTAGGAATACTGGGAAAATCGATAGCTGGCAGAAGCTAGGACAAAACTTGGATCGACCGGATCGGATGACGGACCGGATGACGGACCGGATAACGGATCGGAAGAAAATGTTTTGATTGGGTCTCAAGAGCTATAAATATCAGAGACAAACATGCGGGACTAGAATGTGGGACTAGCCTATGTTTTTGTGACGCCATGTTAAATGACCTCAAGGTATAGACAAACTGTCCATGGCCCGGACTGATAAACATCATATAGAGATGTATATTCACAAAATATTTAATATATAGCGAACTTTAAATCGAAAAGTGCAAGTTTTTTCATCTTTTCTTACGTTCTCTTTGACCGTCTTGCCAATGACGCTCAAATTTCTCAGCTGCCACTTTGATTTTATACAGGTTAAAGTTACCCGTCTTGGCCGCTCCAGGCGTTTGTCAACGAGACCAAATGAGGAAACCAGCAAGGATTGCGAGGAATCGGCTGATATGCCGCCTGATGCTACTCGCTGGTTAGGGAAGACAAGCTTTTTTTTCACGTGCAACGAGAAAGCCCAGATTTATATCTGAGTAACCACTAAGTTCTAAGCTTCGACTTAATTATGAAATGTTCTTGAAGAGAACCATCCTTTCTTTGTGCTGTACTTCGAAAACTCTCCAAGAATGATCTTTATCAGCAACTTCTGGCACTATGGACTGCTGACACCATCGCATGCAGTGGTGCCTGACTCTGTCATTTTCCTAACCACAAGAACAGTGTTGATTTGTTTTATTAGTGAAACTTCAACAATGTGATTACAAAAATGGTGTTTCTGTGATACCTTTTGTTTGAGAATCTATTCATCAGAGCGAGAAATCTAAGTGTCAAAAATGAAAAAAAATTATCAATTGTCTTTTCAGGAGCGCGCCAGAAGTGATTTCTCAAGGGCGGTACAGTCACGCTAGCGATGTGTGGTCATTTGGTGTCTTGGCATGGGAACTGTTTGCAGCGTTTTATGATAGTAATATCATGCCACGACAAACGATACCGTACTACAACCACACAAATGACGAGGTAACTCCTTGTAAAATACTTAAGTTTAAAATATCGATCCCACAGGGTATATGCATGTTAAAGAATCAACGAAACATCAAGATAAAGAAACCAACGTGACGGCTGGTTGTTACAGAGCAACATTGAAGACGAAATTGAGTTTTTTTTTACTCTCACACCAGACTGCATGGTTACCTCACTTCAATTTCCGAAGGTAACGAGAACTTGAAACTTCTCATACTCAATAACGTGGCATTTGTACGACTTTTTTTTCCAGATTTTGCAAAGTATCAAAAAAAACCAGCAACTACAAAAACCACTCTCCTGTCCAGACTGGATACATTTTGTGATTCAAGAATGCTGTTCCTATGAAGCAAAGGAGAGGCCACCTGCTATTGCTCTCTTCGACTGTCTGACATGCAGGTTAGCTATGATCTTCTCAAAGAAAGTATGCTTCAGAAACCATGAAAGTTTTGTCTCCGGCATTTATAGGTAATATATTCGAAATTAAAAAAATTTCAAGAGGCAATCTAACCATTCGAAGATTTTTTTGAGTGTTGCTTAGAATTTGACCAACAATACAGCCTTTTACATCTCGGCACATGGACCATAACATCTCAACCTTCTTTTTCCTGTCTCCTATCAAACTACATCAGAGACGTTTTTCACTCAAATACACTGTTATGATTATTTTTAGGATGATTAATGCACCAGCTCTTTGTAAACCGCGCGTTTTGGTTTTGCGCCCAAACATTTTAGTTTCAACTGTTCGTTTCCTCTTTGGCAACTCAAAATCTGGCAAGAATTAAATTTCAATGGACAACTAATGACAGAGATAAAAATCATCATGTAGCATCTGAATCATACTCATATACTTTGCCGCTCATCATTTTTCCAAACCGTTTCGCCATAGCCAGAAACGAAAGGTTTTCACGACGGCTCAAAGCCTCCGGATATCGAGCGCGCCTTTCACGGCGCCATGTCCGATGGAATATTCTTGTTTTTGTCTCGTGGGTACGGTTCAAATAGGGATTACTTCGATTTTTCCTTGCTTAGCAACTGAGTGGAGCGTTTTTTTCGTTTGTTTGTTTGTTTTTTATTTCCCGTCCGTCCTACGTACTGGTCAGCTTACACGAAGGAGACGGATTTGAATAATTCGTTGTAGAATTTTAGAAGTATCCGATAATTTAAAGCTTTCGCACACTCAAAATGTTACCTCGTTTAATGAACTTTTTGAAAAAGAATTTCCCGATCTATATCAAAAGCTACGAAATTACGAAACCGTTGCCGGCACATTGTTATGCACGAAAGGGGTTCAGTTTTTGCAAGATGTTTGCAATCCAAGCAGTGTGCATTGGTATGCGTTGCGGGTGTGCTTCTCAAATTTGAACTCATAGTACTCGTACATTGATGCTTTAAGAATGCCGATGAAATCTTGGTTGATGGAGGTTTGTTCAAAAAGCCCCACGAAAAGGAAGTTGCACGATGTATGTCAACCAGAGGATGCCTGTCACTTGTTAAAGGAGGAAGATCGTCCTCGAAAAGAGGACATTGAGAACATGTGCTCAGAGGGTTACTTCACAAAGTATGCAACCCAAAGTATTTACAGTGAGGAAGAAGGATATGAAGACATAAGCCACTTTCAAGAAAAAGGTTGTAGTTTTAAATTTTTATTTTCAATGATACTCTCCGGGACATATTCAAACCCATTTCACCCATTTGAAAACCTCTTTTCCCGCCATGTTCCAGTGCATCGCCCTCGCTGCGTTGTCATGCCACCCCTCATTAACAATTGGAACAAATTCTGGGAAACTACTCCCAGTAAGATGTGGTTTATTCTTGTCTCCCGGTTCTATAGATCAATGGTGTAGGACTCCGTCTCTCCTGACCTCAACTAAGACTAGGTCTTCTCAGGGCTCTCATTCTCCAAACTACTCACAGTAAGATGTGGTTTATTCTTGTTGCCCGGTTCTATAGATCAATGGTGTAGGACTCCATCTCTCCTGACCTCAACTAAGACTAGGTCCTTCTCAGGGCTCTCATTCTCTTTTGGCCGCGCAAGTCTGTCCTATTCGTTCTTCCCTAAGCTCAGCTCTCATTCCAGTTCTCATTCCTTCTTTAAATTCCTTTGTTGTCTCTAGAAATTGGGGTTCCCATTGTCCCTTTGTGGCTGCCATAAGCAGCTTCTCTTCACTACGTAGAGTGTAACCTCGCAATTAAAATCCTCTCTTTTTTAACGTAATCTTCATCTAATATTAGGCGTCTGTCTACTTGTCTACAAGTTATTTGTTGCTTATTCATTCTATACTGACCTCTGCCGATTGGGTTCATTTTCATTCCCCAGCAGGTTCGTTCGCTAACGGAGACATACGCACATCTGAAGAGGTAGGACAATGGGTCAGTCTCCCAAGTTGATAGTAGGCCAGAAAAATGTCGAAGCCTGAGAGGAATTGTAAATGGATTGTTTTATTAAAATTGATTTTAAAAGATGAAGACCATGATTTCAAGGAGAAAACACTGTGACAATAGCTTAAGTTTAACACATCTAGTCATAAAGTAACAATACTGTATCAAATGAGTAATCTGCCGTTTTCAACGTCTTGCATAACTCTAGATCTGCTATTTAAAGTGTTAATTGAAAAAAAAACAATTGATGTGAGGGAAAAAAAACCCTATGAGGAAATTGTGCCTCTTTACTCTGTCTTGCCATAAGACAATAGAAAAACTCAGACTCAGTAAACAAACGATTGTTGGCGTGAAAGAGATCATTGACAAGGTTATCTCTTAATGTGGGAATACGGAATTACAGACAAGTGAACCAATAATTTAAGCGGACTGAATTGACAGAAACAAAATTATATTCTTGGACACAAATTTTAAGTAGCCAAAAGTTTGTTCAATGGTTGAGTACATTGCAGATCAGAGAGACCATTCCACGCACAGATTTCTTTTCGTAATATCAACCAAGCTGTCAGGCTTTGTTAAAGAGACAGCCCTTAATGCTCATTATAAGTATTGAAAAGGGAGGGTACAGTCTGGAACATAACTGTGGTGAGGCATCTTGCAGGAGTGACATTCTCCCAGAGAACTACCTAACTTCAGACAGTACTTGGAATTTTCGTCTTTAATGTCTCTGGTAGTTTTGAGACAAAATTAATTGTTAATTATCATTCGAGGGGCATGACACCGTTATTTATTATTTATTGTTCAGCATCGACCTTCACCTCCTCCATCTACGATCACATCAGAGGAACCGTTGATTCAATTAAACCATCTCTACGTCAATTGTCGTTATGAGAGGCCAGAATCACCGTCTCTAGTTGCTGGGAAGGTAAGATCATGATGTTTAAGTCAATTGACTGAATGACGTAGGGTAATGAATCTTGCGAAATGACGGAAGCTGCGTCGACAACGACGTTGAAGGAAAAAACGGAATCGACACTGTCATCCTTTTTAACCAGAAGCATACCACCTTCAAGAATTTAAGTACCTTGTAAAGCTGGTTTTATAGAGTACGAGACAAGCCAGTGTAATTTTATATATACTAATATAGGGTTGATAATCTTAAGTGTGCATTACATGTGAAACGAGTGTAAACTTGTGATGATGTAAACATTATGCTATAAAATTGTCCCAATGCTGGGCGTAACCTGTAACGGACAATCATCATATCCAGGGGTAACAGCAATACTCCGAATCATTTCGTCCTATATAAATTTGGCTAGCTTCCGGCCAGATGGAGCAATTTTTAATTGAGTGTTAAAAGTAATCCGCGATTGCATTGGCTTTGCCTAACTTCGCTCTGCAATTGGTTCAGAAAACTTGCAGCACTCTCTCGACCAATCAGATTACGACCTGCCGCGCTTTAGGCAGTTTGGTTGTTAGTTTTTTTTTTTAACTTTGAGTTCTCATTGGCTCTCGGGGGTGTATTCCTTCCGTCTGATTGGCTGTTGTGATTTCTTTGGTTTTGGTTTTACGACACTGAATTGACATGCGCTCCGAGCCGCCAAGCTCGGTAATTGACATCACCTTTACATTCACAGTTTTCTCCCTATGCTTAAAAAAATGGTTTAGCTAAAGAAACGTATGATTTCGGTTCAGTGTTTCAGAGATGATCCTATGAACCTGAAGATCTATATTCGCCGTGGACAATGTGATCAAGGGACTATACATGTGTTCTTGTCTCAAGTAGCATCTGCGCTACATTATCTTCATACACAGCACATTGTTCATGGAAATCTCTGCGCCGAAAATGTCATAGTCGTGGACTCCTACAAGGTAACATCTTTAGTAAGGTTCGCTCACGTCACTCTTGAACTAACAGCTCTATTTGAGATTGAATTGTAGGATATTAAAAGGCAGGTAAATTTAGAAGAGGAAAAGGTTGTCCCCTACTAGGTAAATTACCTTTCGCTATCCCTTACAAACAGACAAAATTGAAACCCAACCCTCTTACAAGCCCTCATGTCGAGAAATAACAAAATATATAATCATTAACTAAAGAAAAAGGAGAAAAAAACTAGTTGACCAACATGTACAAGAATTATGAGCATTGAAACGACGACGTTTTACACAAACTATTCTAAAAGAAAGGATGTCGTCTTGATTGAAAACTTTGCTAAGTCTTGGATAAAAGGAAGATTTTAGTTTTTTGACGAAAGACGGTAGTTCCTTTTCAGCTCTTATGTTATAACATGACAAAATCTCACCATTGCTCATTTACCCCTAACTCTTCTATCTAGTACAGAAATCTTACAGCCAAGAAACGTTCAAGGGCACGTGATGTAATATTTTTGAAACAAGCATTCAATTATGTTCTAGCAAACGCACCTCTGCGCTTGCAAACCCGCCAGAGTTTTTCGACGCTCTATGGAAAAAATTATCAAAGCGGCAACAGAGTTGCGAATTAAGAATTGGATCTTTTGGCCTGGCCAACGCGGGACTCCACCAGGGTTAACCAGCAAGAGAGGCTGATCTGGCTTTACAACTTAATACGTGTATGCGCTTACAAACATTTGAGTGCGGTTGGGTTACTCTTTGCGGTGAATTAAAAAAACAAAAAGAAATTTTAGTGAAGTGACAATTGACGCATATATCTTCCATACAAAGCCAGACCTCGGTATATGAGCTTATAATCAGGGTCAAGAGAGCCAACAAAAACGCGTAAAATGCAATATCCGTGGGCTGAGGATTTTAAAGAAGCGCCATTTCCTCGGAGTTCTTGCCTCTTATGCGGCGGAGTTGTATCTTAGCTAAGCTGTGGTGGACTCAATGAATGTTAAAATAAAATCATAGATAAAAGCATAGATGAATGAATAAGGAAACAAATAGTGTTTTGAAATAATATTTCACAATTATTCGCCGCAGGCGAAGTGAACATTGTTGAATAATCCCCGAGACAAAGTCTAGGGGACTATTCAACAATATTCACTTATAGTTAAAATAGATATCGATGCAGTAATGACAGAATGACTGTGGTAAATAAATAAGAGAGTGAACCCACAAAGAGATCTTAACCATTCCGCATTTCTTAGCTGGCAGTGTTGATTGATATACAGGTTCAGGTCGTCTGTCTTGGTCAACACAAGCTTCTGACCGTGGGAGCAGGTGAAGACACCAGCAAGGCTAGCGTTTTGCAAGAGGATATGCCACTTGACTGTGCTCGCTGGTTAGCAATCCTTTAAGTTTTGCGATTGATTTCTTCCTTAAAAGTATGTCTATAACTTATTCGTTAGAATTGATTTAGAACCATATATATAAATATTTTCAGGAGTAGTTGCAATAGCGGAGTTCGATGAAATCTGTTAAAACATTCTACTTAAAAGTTACGGTTTAAGGTCAATTTTTTTCGTTCAGTAGTTTAATTAGCCACATTCAGCGATATTTTCATCGTTCATCAGACGTTTTTATCTTTTAGAGTTACCAATCTTGAAGACATGGCTCTGTGCGACGATTCCCCGAAGCTCTTTTGTGAAAATAATTAGCGTAGATCGCTTGTCTTCCTCCATCCAAATGAAATGAATACGTTGGACTTATGGGTGAAAAAACTAACCAGAATAAAAGAAAAAAGATTGACTTAGCTCCCGCGAAAAAACCTCCTGAAGAATGTTCAAGCAATTTCTAATGGACTGTTATTTATATCTCTGGTGAGATCAACATCGAGCAAGAGATTGTAATCTCGTGCATCGATCCATCAACCGAAACCTTCGACCATTCAGGAACTTATATAGTACATAATAAATGCCACGTTTTATTTATTTGTTTAATGCATGGAAGTTAGAAACTAGAGCTATAAATTGTTAGAAAAGCTGGTAAAAAATTTCGTTCAGAGGATTTCACTGTAACTACTACACAAGGGAGTACTGATTGCGATGCGAGAGTGAAAATAACGATTGTCTTTACAGGAGCGCGCCAGAAGTGATTTTTCAAGGGCGGTACAGTCACGCTAGCGATGTGTGGTCATTTGGCGTCTTGGCATGGGAACTGTTTGCAGCGTTTTCATCTGGTGAAAACTTACCAGAACGAACGTTCCCCTATCATGATCTTTTGGACCACGTGGTAAAACGTCTTACTCTGTTTTTCTATATACCGCTTGATAATAAGCGCTCCTTGAAAACGAGCTCAGCAATTACTCAGTGAGTCAATCGCTTTGACGAAGGCGAACGCTCGAAACGTCAGCTTTTATACCCTTTACGATGGCTAATTTAAGTTTTCAGCTCAGTTGTTAACACTAAATTACCTGCTATACTCTCCCACCGACGCAGCACCATTTAGAAACTTACTCCCTTTATTAATTATTCAATGACATTCGCGAAAGAGTGTGATACACTCAGTTGCAAAAAAGCCTAAGGTGAGTTTTCCCCTCATAAACATGTAAAATATTCGTTTGGTCAATGTAATCTAGTGCGACTTTTTAAACTTTCTTTGCAGGTTAGTGTAAGCAACAATCTCCTTCAAAAACCACGTTCCTGTCCAGATTGGATAGATATCATAATTCGTGAATGTTTGAAATATCAAGCCGAGGAGAGACCACCGGCCATTGCGCTCTATGATTGTCTGTCATGCAGGTAATTCATATTATATCCTGAATGTGTGACCGTAGCTCAAGCGTTTCATTGCAGATTTTTTATAGGTCATCACATGATTTAGAGTGCAATTTGGAACCAATAGGCACAAGTAAAATTTTCAAAGACTAACAAAATTTCATCAGCCCGTTGGGCGAGTGCAATTTGTGGTCTCTGAAAAAATTAACAATCGCTTATTTATTCCAAATTGCACGTGAAAAATCGTATGATTATGTGTTAATAATATACATGAAAAAATACGAGATAGCTTATCATAATTATGCTGAGAAGCAAAGCGCCCGCATCAAGTGCAAAAATAATTTATTTGTATAGGTAATCACATGATTTCGAGTGCAATTTGGAATAAATAAGCACGAGTAAATTTTTTTTAAGACTAACAAAATTGCACGAGCCCGTAGGGCTCGTGCAATTTTTGGTCCTTGAAAAAATTAACAAGTGCTTGTTTATTCCAAATTGCACGAGAAAAATCATGTGATTACGTGTTAATAATATACATGGAAAAATTATCATAATTAAACATAAGCAAAGCGCGCATCAAGTGCAAAAATAATTTATTCAAACCATGGAAGTGCGCGCTCGGTCAAAACAACCGCGTACGATCAAAACAATAATAAATTATGCAATGATATCTTCACATCTTTAGCAAAGTGTTAAGCTGGGTCAGCTCGTAATTTCGATTTCCTTGGCAATTCCCTTCTCTAAACACCACTTTTTCCAAACCGACAACCAAAAAGCAGTGCTTTTTACAGTGTTTTCGTTGTCAGAGCTGTTTTTCAGTTGCTGTATTGTTGTGGCGGTGGCGAAAGAAAACCTACTTTAAACGTCGGCCATTGTTTTGGTCGCAAATTTTCAGCGTATCCAACTGTTGCGACATCCAAGGCTCGCATTTGATTGGCTATCCGTGAGTTTCTTTGACTATTGACCAATCAGAATGCCTGGTTTGTTACTTCTTTGCACTGAATTACCCCTCTTCTGCAACGAATTACCTGAAAACTGAATTCATCTCAATCAATCAGAACTGAGTAATTTTTTCCTGTATAATATTAAGAATAAAACAGGCGCGAATAAACGTTCAATTTCATTTTAGTAAAGCTACATATTGCCCGAGAACGCAACTACAAGTTATAGTCATGAAGTTGTGTTTTGAAGTACTTTTAAATTGAAATATTGCATTCAAAATCTTAAGATAGTTGGCATTTTAACTTGTGGTTAGCACTAAAAGTTTCTAGCTGCCGTCCGCGTGATCAAGTTTTTGAACATTGTAATAGGTCAGTTTAAGCGTTATGCCGTTGTAAATGTATAGTAACTGTCATTTGCACCACTGTCATACAGTTTACTTCCACGGTAGTACTACTTGTTATATAGACGAGTAGGTTCAGTTTTCTGTTGGAAAAAGTCAGCTGTTATGTTATGATGACTACGCTCACCATTGCAGTTTTGAATTATTGGTTTGTGTCGTCAAATTCTGTCCGTAATCATCGGCTCATAATTCACGCGCCAAACCTTTTCTTCCTTTCCTGTCTGGTTTTAATAGTCACTCGTTTGGCAACAGATTGACTACATCCGGTAGTATTACCATAAATGATATATAAAGCAGTAATGGTAATGGTAATAATAATAATAATGATAATGGTAATAATAATAATAATGATAGCATGAGTAATAATGATGATTATAATGACGATAAAAAGAAGTAGAATAAATAGTAAGATAGGTAGTAAATTCTGAAGTAACTGATCTACGAAAAATAAAATTGATGTGATATGAAAAAAAAAGAGTATTGAAGAATTGTTGGAGACGTTAACATATCTAATTCCGCCATAATAGATGTGTGAGATACTTTGGGATGAATAAATAATGCTAGAACATAGCCTACATTACTTCAGTCGTTGTTTTCATTGCCAACAAACAACCTCTAATATTATTACCAATTTTAGGGTGCCAAGGCAATCTTGGTTGATAAAATTGTGGATACAAAATCATAATAGAGAGGAGTGGCCTGATCTAACCATCTGTCAACCAGAGGATGCACCTCACGTCTTAAAGGAAGAATGTCGTCCTCGGAGGGAGGACATCGAAAAGATGTGCCAGAAAGGCTTTGATTCGACGTACGAGCTACCCCCACCGTAAATTCCATTAGTACAATCAGTAGCTATACTTGCGAGCCAAAGTGAACATCAGACATAAGGAGGTTCTGTCAGTATTAACTGAGTAAGGAGCATCGCCTGGCATGAAGCGTTGTGGAGTACATAACCAGCGGACTAAACAGTTCGTATCCAGACCTAACGACTATAAAATGTAAAATATAAAATATTACATGGTAGAATATAATTTACAAGACGTTTGCGCAAAACAGTCAAAATTGAAATATTCTTTCCGTGATGCAGTCTGATTCAGGCTTTTGTAAACAAAGGTCAATATAGTTCTATTTAAAGTGAAGACATTCATGACATGTCTCTAATTTCTAAAGTTTTAGTTTAAGGCCTAAATCAAACTATTGCTGACACCGACGGAGTCTTCTTGGATGCCCTCTAGACTTACAGTCACTTTACTTTTTTTCGAAATCTAAAGACACGTTGATCTGAGCTGAACGTGAGCACACCAAGACTTGGAAATTACTGTCCAAAAAAACTTTTGACTTTATGGTTTCAATGCGCTAAGCGGGAAATTTACTTGTTAGCCTAAAATGTAATCGTCCTTTGCAAACCATCGGTGCAAATTGGACAGTGAGCAATGTTTCATCAGGCCTCCTCAAAACCATTCGAATGAAATAGGATAGTTTGTACTTTTGTAGACAATTTGATTTATTGATTTATTTGTTTTGCCTTAGCCCTGGCATGTTATCATTAACCCTCGAACTTATTGCAACAGAAGCTTTGTCATCAGTAAATAATCAGTGCAATTAACAGATATTTTATCATACTAAAGTCTCTAAAGATCTCTGTTGGCGAATACCACGCAATAGCACCAACTTTTTACTCGTCCTGTGCTACAACTTAAGAAACAAAAATGCAAGCGGAAAACCGTTTATTTCGCGTGTTTCATCGAGAATTAATCTTTAAGAGTTATTTTTAACGAAAGAAATGGCTTTTTAGCGTACCGGATTGGTAATTCTTGTCTGTCTTTCTCACTTTTTCGTTTTCTCTGTACTTGCTACACACGTGTATACATGTATACATGTACTTCACCCATCTGAATCTTCGATATCTTCAAAAACGGTCAGCGGTAGTCATGGCGGCTGGTTGTAAGTTTTCCTCTCTCCTGTTTTTACCGTTTTTTTAGTTTGTCTCTTAGCCTGCAATAGTTTTACTTTCTTCAAAATACGACTATCTCATCCCAAGACTTGTCTGCATCCTGTTGGAGGCGTCATAGGCTTGGAGACGACTCGAAACTTCTTTGTTGCACTGACATCGCGAGTCCGCCATCTTGGAACACGTGCGAAGGGATATTTTGGTACAGACCTAACTCGATATCCCAATTCTGTTTCTACATTTAATATCTCAAGATTGGTACAATGTGGAGACATCGAAATAAACCCTGGACCAGGACAGTCATTATCTCCGGGATTATCCACAACTCGCAAAAAACCTCTTTGGAAGTGCCCTTGTGATGTATGTACGAAGCCGGTTCGCTCCAATCAGAAAGGGATTCTCTGCGATGGTTGTAACAAATGGTTCCACCTAAAGTGCATTACCATGGATCTACAGGCTTATATTGACTTGGGGTCTTCTGATGAGCAGTGGTTCTGTGACAAAAATTGTGGGTGGCCTTTTAACTTCACTGATTCATTCTTTGAATCGTCCTTCTCAACTGGGCAGAATGTAAGCTTAAGCTCTGATGTCTCTGCGGAATCTTCTCCTCGCTCTGCTAATGGCTTCTCTAAGTGCTTACTATTAAATACGAGGAGTATTCGAAACAAGATCAACGACCTAAATGCTCTGTTATTAATGGACTCCTTTGACATTGTTGCCTTGACGGAGACTTGGTTAGACAATGAATTTGATGACCGTGATCTACATCTTGAGGGTTATAGTATCCATCGTCGGGATAGACGTGGTAAGCGTGGTGGAGGAGTGTTGCTCGCAACTAAATCACACCTGCCATGTGTACGGAGACACGATCTTGAGGTAAATGCGGAGATGCTAGCCTGTGAATTAAAGACCAGTAATACACGATGTCTATTATTTGCAGTTTTTTACAGACCACCAGACGTCGAAGAGACGTTCTTGGATGAATTCAGGAGATTTCTCAATAAAGCTTCTGGTACAGGAATCGCTGATTTAATTATCACTGGCGATTTTAATTTTCCCTGTGTCGATTGGTCTACTGGATCACCAACTAGTTTAGACAATTTGACTGAAACTTTTTGTGAAATCCTGGATGACCATTTCCTCACCCAAACAAACCCTTATATCACCCGTCCCAGTGCCACTAATACCTTATCATCTGGTAACATCTTAGACCTTGTGTTGACGAATCATGAATCACTCATCGAAGGAACTACTGTGCACCCAAATGGATTTGATTCAGACCATTTCCCAGTCTGTTTCGCGATCAAGAAAAAGTTCAACAGGCCCAAAAACAGTCCAAGATTAGTTTACCGATATGATAAAGCTGACATTGATGGTCTAAGAAATACATTCTCTCACATCTTATGGGATTCCTATATATCTTGTGAGGACATTGACTCAGGTACGGCGAATTTCCAAGATCTTGTTCTCGCGGCAGTCAATCAACATGTACCAAAGATGAAGCTTAGACGCAAGCCAAGACCTCCATGGATAGATAAAGAGGTCTTAAAGTTAGTGAGGAAAAAGAAAGTCTTGTGGAAGCGTTTAAGGGCCAATGCTTCTCTTGAGGTGACAACAAAGTTTAAATTTCTTAGGAAACAGACCAAACGTCTTATCTCCTTTAAGTATTTCCAGTACTTAAAGTCTCTATCGGATAAGCTGAAGACTAATCCAAGGAAGTTTTGGTCTTTTCATTCTCTTAAATCCAAGAGCAAGAGACTGCCAGAAGTAATAACTTA